CACAACCAGGCATCACTTGCTATGTAAAGATTTGCCAGGAGCGAATGAGACGCTGGTGGTCTTGAAAACTGGCGCGACCGAGCTAGATGCGAAATTGCCTGTCCACTTCAACACCACCATGCAATGTTATCCTAACATGCTCATATTTTCTGATAGTGCAGAGATAATAGAGAATCACACTGTTATCGACGCTCTGGAATCCGTCAGTCCAGATCTGAAGGACACTCACCCGGATTTCGAGATCTATCGCCGCTTGCGCGATCATGGTAGACAGATCCAGCTATCAGATAAACTGCATAACGAAGACAAACCCGAATCATGGACTGGCAACGCAGAGAATCCTGGTTGGAAACTGGACAAGTGGAAATTTCTACCCATGGTCAGTAGAACTTTTTATGAGTACCCTTTAATGAAATGGTACGTCTTCATCGAGGCCGACTCTTACATCATCTGGCCGACTTTATTGGAACATCTTGCTACACTGGACCATACGATTCCCTACTATGCAGGCGTCACAGTATACATAGACGGCATTGGCTTTGCACACGGCGGCTCCGGCTTCATTGTGTCTCAGCCTGCAATGCATCTTGTGGCAAGCTATATCGATTCGAATCAAGAGAAGCTTGAAAACTTCACCGGCGGCCACTGGGCTGGTGATTGTGTTCTTGGTAAGACTTTCACGGATGCTGGTGTACCACTGACGGACGCATGGCCTATCATCCAGGGCGACCATCCAGGCATGGTACCGTATATTGCTGATGACGGTCGTCCCATGCCACCATCAGATAAGCGGATCTGGTGCAACCCGACAATCTCATACCACCATGTGCCACCAGCCATGGTCGAGGACTTCTGGAATTTCGAGCAGGAATGGCTTTCAAGAGCAGAAGAGGTATGATTTCGCTCTTAAGAGAAGTGCAGTTCTCTGATAATTTGCATAGGGCCAATCAGTATCGATGCGGCATAGTGACGTCTTTCAAAACTACATCATACCACGCATTCAGAGCCCACGACTTGGGTGGGATAATGAGAGCGGTGACGAGGCTGGCATAGCGGCCGACTTTGACACTTGCCGATCCTGGTGCGAGGCGAATAAAGACTGTGTGCAGTACTCTTATGATAGTGAAAGCCGCTGCTGGCAATTCCATCTACCACGCTTGGGCAAATATGCGCCAGGGAAACAATCCGGGTGGCTTGTCGACAGAATTGAGCAGCTTGCAGCAAATCTGGCGCCTTGCGATGCTAGAGACTAAAGCTGTCGCATAGATCTTGCCGCAACACGGCTCTAAGTCGTTCACAGGGAAGGCGCGTGAATCATGATTTTAACATTTAGAGATTCAGCAAATCCATCAAATGTCAGACATGTTGCAAGGGAGACAAACGTAGCGATTAGGAGGCATTCAAATTAGCGGCCATGTCTATCGCCATATCGGCAGGTTCGCACTTCAACGACAAGCCAGCTATCTACCCTTCACTGCGGCCATGAGGGTTTCGTTCCAATCTATCAGCAGAACTGACGCAAGAGTCTCTGAATGTATGAGATTGACGTTAGGTGATGAGCTAGGTTGTCAGCCGAAGGTGAGCAACGATATCAAGGTCAGCAGCTATATCATCCTACATCATCTACCTTGACATGCACAATTAAGATGAGGCATCCAGTGAGGCAGATCGAGGGTAAATGACTTGCTGAAGATCAAGCTATTCTAATACAAGTGCGTCTACATCTGCCGTGTTTAAGGAAGGCTACCCTCCCATGTTGGAAAAAGATGATTGCCATTATTGCGAAGAGGTTCGATCTTGATGGAGGCATAGCGAAGGTCTTCAGTGAAAACTAACCCTATCAAGCCCGATCTCAATCTGGGTGGAAATCCCGAACAGGCTTTAGATTAAACAGCGCGGACGATCGTTCAAGAATTTATGCAGCTACAATTACACACTGACGTTCCTCGCATTCTGATCACAGACGATATACAAAGCTCTGTGATACGTGTAGTAACCGTGCACTCATCTTTAACAGCCTCTCGAGAGATTCTACTATCTGTCTCCTACATATGCAGTTTGTAAGTCTATACTCACTCTAGGAAGTGAGTTCAACAATTAAGCTTTGTCTAATTCATCGATTCAACTATAGGCCGATGTGTTCAGCAGAACCATGAGCGTGGCTCACCAGCTCTCTCCAGAGATGGGAGTACGTTTGCTAATGGACTTAATGCTGCTGCACAAACTCCCACCCACCACTGCAGCCCTAGACTTTGATGCTTCCTTCTTGCGATGTTAGGATATTTATGCATGGGGAGTTCGCCCTGCGACTCATGGAAGAATCTGGAGACCTCGAACTCGTGGTTTGGACCAGGCCCAACGCATATCCACAAGGTTGTAGACGATTGCAACTGCACCCAGCACACGTCACACCAGAGGTAGCCAGGGAAATTATCTAGCTTACAAGCGTTGGCTAAGTGGATGATGCTGGGACATAGCTTGTTGGAGCAGCACGCGGTGGGGATCCATGGTCGACCAATGCTGCCTGAACTCTAAGTTGCCTGAGACAAGCATCTGGGCGCTGCTTTGGAGACTTAGCCAGTGACAGAACGAATTGCATTTGTGTGAAGCGAAGTAGAATTTGAATCTCTCCTCGTGCAGATTCGTGCTGATAAGTTTGAATCTTTCGCGGTCACGCGTCTGAATGGCCAGGTCAGTAAGTAAGTGTCCTACTCCCTACAGATTATTGACCAACAAGTGCCCCCATGAACGCTCAAATGTAAAATCTGAGAAGGCTTGCGCCATTTGGTTGAAGAGTCATCCAGTAGGTCTTTATTTACTCAAAAGGCATTGTTGTTATAATTTCTATATTCCCCTTTCATGTAAGGTTCAAGTAATAGGCAACCGCCCTCAGTTCCTGAAGCTGTCTTCCGCTTACGTTGGAGGCGGGAACTGACGATAAAGTCAAGTGAAGGTTCAACTCTGGAAAAACTATTGAACTCTAGGGCAAAGGTTTTGCACAGGGCCTAGAGCCGCATGTACTCAGCTACTGCCGCCCGCCTGTGACCAGCTTCGATGAAGGACTTGATCACAAAGCGGCTCGTCGAGGCGGCTGTGTGGGCGTAAGATGCTATGCGAAACGAATCTTGAGCGAACGATTTCAATCGAACGCTGATGGTAAGTTTTGCATCAGTCAGTTTGATGTTCTCATCGGTAGCCATCATCTCACTGAGAATGCTGGCATCGTGCACCACCACGGCGGGGGGGGGGAAACCCTCTACCTCAAAGACCTCGTCGAACCAGCCGGGAGTGGTCCACTATGGCCTGGCGGTCTCTAGACACACTCTCAGCCCCAAATTCTCACAGCTATTTAGAAACCAAGTTTCAGAGCAGAAGTCTAGCTGTTATTTAAGCCACCATAATCTGGAGCAGATTAGGTGAGGATTTTTCGTGCCCTTGTCGGCATCTCAATATGATTTCCAGACAGGTTTAGTGTAGCTTGCAAACCGTAATGAATTGCAAACGATGGAGAAGCGAATTGAGGAAGTTGTTGTCTGCGCAGAGCTCCCATAACGTAGCCTGACAACTGTTTAAGGGGAGTGTCTCCTGTCAATCTGCTATTTAACGCTGAGACATAACATTCGAGAACGGTTGCCAGACAAGACACGTTATGTTCTGGAACTCCTTCCAGATATAGACAGTACGTTATTAGAGCCCTGTTTCAGGCCGCTCCTTAGCGAAGCCCTCTTTGGCTCTATTTCTGTTTCTTTAACCCTTTAAAACCTTTATATAAATACCACTTTTAGTCTGACTATGCACTGCAAGCTTATGTGTAGCTCTAACGCCAACCTTTCTGCAATGAGAGTCACAAAATCTAGTCTAATACATGGACTCAAAGAACGCAGAACGGGGCCACCGTAAAACTATGTCTACCCCAGTAAAAGTAAGATGAGTCAGTTCTTACTTCAAACCTTCGACCACCTGTCGAAATCTGACCGATAATCAATCTAGCGTATGTCGAAAGAATGGTCGGCGACACAACAGGACCAATGACAAACGATCGGCCGAATTGGCATGTCGAGGCTAGTGAGCACAACCATCTGAGCGACTGGTGAGAGGAGAATAATTTACCTCAACTAAGATCATTGAGAGAACATGTCGTGTCCGATTACCCGAGAAATAGACAGTTATCTGATAAGTCTCCCAACTTCAAACCAGTTTCCTAGAGAGGTTCCTTACTGTGCATAACTCCATGTATGGGATCCTTACGAATTGCAGGCTCAGGATCGAGCAAATCCCTAAAACCATGAGCTATGTAGCGGAACGGTAGCAATCCTGCAAACGTGTTGTTGCATATGAACGAACGAATAATCTAGGAGAAAGATGAAATGAGTGGAACCAAAGATACGTAGCTAGAATTGATTGGATTGGGTCAGGCAAGGGCCAAACCGGGGAACGTCGCAGACGAATCGTAATGCGTCTTACAATAAACTCGTCTACAATAACCTTGAGAGGTGTTGCTTGGCAAAACCAAACGTCCCCCGCGCCCCCATAGTCTGTCAATGCCGGCCGGAAACGAAGTATGCTGTGGACGCTAGAACCGCTCTGGTTTACACAGGGAAAATCGAGAGTATTCTACAATTTCAATCGAGCGAGCCTTGTTTCCATCTCATCTTGTAATGTACAACTTCCAGAGCACAACACTCTTCATGTATCTGTCACTTGGGAAGTGTCATAGGTTGCATTGCGCTTCTTAGCTTCCTTTGCGATGATCTTCACTGCGTCGAAAGTTGTTGTACACTCCGTAGTACAGCTGGGGGTAATTTAGAAACTACATGCGTCAAACAAAAGATGCTCGCTTAATGCAATGTCTGTTTTACATGGCTTCGCCTACATGGGTGAGTAATTCGAAATTGTCAAACTGTATAAAAAGTCATTTAGACGAGTGGTGTTATTCGATCCAAGACATCGAATTACCATCTTATGAGGAAAAGGCAAAACGAAAGCTTTCTGAGGAAGAGTTCGGATACCGGGAGTCGAACCCGGCTCTGCCCGGTGCTCCCAATTGAAAGCGGGCGATGCTAGCCGATACACCATATCCGATAAGGAATACTGCGAAGGTATAGAAAATACTGCAATATATTACTTCTATTTACCGAGCACTCGTAATGCTCTCCCGCAACCCATCGAATCCAAAGTGTATCGGGATGACACGTCCCTCTGGATTTTGGCAGGCACAAAAGATTGCATCAATTGGCTCAGGCCAAAAGAAATCTTTAGTCGAAGCCTGAGAACTACCTCCACGAAACCTAGCTATGTTGGATTTGCAAAGTGAGGGGGCCTCTGCTGCAGTCGCCGGCTAACCTCAAGTCGTTCAACACCTATCACTTTTATGCAGAGTCTCGCATCTTTCGTCAATGCATGCAGCACAAAGCTAATCGTCACACGACATCTGTTGACTGATTAAGCTTCACCGGCGAAGGATGTATAGCCGAATATGAGGCTGAGTCAATACCTGATCCTCTCCTCAGCTACACGGACCTGGACAATCCGATATGAGACCTGAATGCATCACTGGATGCTTACTTGGATCGATAGGCCATAATCTTATTTGAGACATCGCCATTTGAACGGTCAATTTAAAGTGCAAAAGAATTCTAATGCTACCGACCACTTTTCATTGGCGTTTCAAAGACAATTTGAGGCTATTCGTAGGATCACATAATAGCAGCATAACAGCGTCAGACTCCCAATCACGCAGTCATTCTAACGGAAAGTCGCACGAGGAGCACCCATCAGTCTCAAGCAGAAGCTCAACGAGCAATGGAAGCCTCCCCTCTCGTGAAACTGCCCACAGAGCTTCGCCTTGAGATCTACGACCACCTCTTCCGTTCCAGCAATTCGTATAGACGTCCGATCAAGCCCAACGTCAGGGCGCCAGAGCTTCTCCAGCCGGCATTGGCGGCGACGTGTCGCGAGCTGCGGCAGGAGGTCCTCCCGGCCTTCTACGCCTCCAAGACCTTCATCATCGACGACCAACGCAAGGGCATAGAGGCGGCCGAGCGCTTCTTGCGCCGCCTGGGGCCTCACTGGACGCAGCAGCTCACGATCCGGGTCCCCTGGTCTACCACTTTCATGACATTCTGTGGACGGAGAGCATTTGATAGGTTGGTGGCTGAGAGACGCGTGAGGGGCGGAAAGGTGGAGCCCGAGCCTTGGGTGCAGACGATGAGGTGCTCCTGGTGGACGCATCGGATCAAGGGGTCGACTGTGCCGCACCCGTCTATGGAGGAGGAGGTGCTAGGTCAATTTCTAGTAGGTATGGGGTTGACCTTGACGGTGTACTACCTTTTGGAGGGCAGGATGTCGCTTGCAGGGTCGACCTTTGAACTTCCTCAGGTGCTTGTGGTCGTCTTGGAACTTGACCCTTGAGACATTGGGAAGCATCTGTTAGCATGCTACCAACGGCATGGAGCTTAGGTTTGAGACTTTTGAATATTCGCATTGGGCATTCTGGAGTGTATATTTGAAGCCAGTACAAAGGAGAGACGTCAAGTCAAACCATGCATAGAATCAAAAGCCTAGCTCCAGCAGGTCGGCCAAAGGGAACCCATCCGCGCGTTGAGCGCTGTCTTCCTTTGTGCATTCCCCAGATAGTGCAAGCCCTTAGCATGGACTGAAAACTCCAGGCGCCGTCGCTCCCAATGGTGCAACTCGATTTGAGCAAAAGCAAACTCTGATATTCCCGTTTGTTCCCATTTAAATCACAGAATGGCAAGAAGTGTCTAGACATGAGTTAATGTCTGGCATCTAATGCATCAAAGCGAGTTCACGTCAACTCGTGCTGTAGTAAAGTCCCAGAGCATCTTGATTAGATTGTCTGGGAGTGTGTAGAGATCGACATGGAACTCGCCATCTAGTGAGAGCGTCAGTAACCTTGAGAGACCTTGAGGGCTCAGTTACAGTGGTGACTTACTATCGATGTCGTTCTTGGTGTACGTGTCTTCGGTCTTGTTGTCATGGACCATCTGAACGACCTGCAGGAGATCCTCCTCCCCAAGCTGCGGCAGAGCTTCAGCTAGCTTCTCCATGTCCACATTGCGGTTGGCCTTCTGGCGCTTTTTCTCGCTCTTGGGAGCGGCAGCAGTGCCGTTCACTTCGCCCACTGGACCTGACTCACGAAGGCGCTCGAGCAGCTCCGACTTCGGATTGCGGAAGTTCTACAGGGAACGTTAACATCACTCGTGAGAGCCATCGGCTTCGAAGACAATGACAACTCACCACCGTGTGTGTGCTCTCATACATCTCTTGCTGGAAGTTGAGATCGTGCGATACGGTCGTCTGGCCACCCTTGGGCGCGCCAACAGGAGTCATGACAATCTGCATGTCAAACTCACCCCAACCCTTCTCTCGGATTGCGAACGACGGTTTCTTGAAGACTGTGGCCCTGTCAGCACGACGTCGCTCTCTTGTTGATATCCTCCCGGCACTTCTCCGTCTTCCATCTCATTCCCTCGAGCTGTCTAAGCACATAAAATTCATGTCACCAGTGTCCACTCACCCTGTGTCGCTCTATTCCCGAAGGACTCATGCAGCCTGTACTCAACCTTCTCGAAGCAGTTGGCAGGCACATCATCGCCTTCGGCATTGACTAGGAAGACGTTGATCGACCACTCGCGCATGGGGAAACCTTCCATCTCTGGCTTCTCATCTGGTAGGACATGTTGCTCCGTGACGAGCTTGACGGTGCGCTTGATCTATTTGCCATCAAGACGTGTTCCGTTAGCATCAGTCTAGAAGGGCTTCCATTTGTGATCCTCATTGTTCATGTGAGTGGGTAGCTCGTGGGGGTTTCCAAATACATACGTCTGGCATTGTAGCGGTTAGTGGGTCTTGATTCCTAGCCTAGCTTGATTTCTGGACGCTGGAGCGTTGGATGTGGTGGTATTGAATGCGCGTTAGTTTAGTGGAGAGAGGTGAAAGGTGCGCAAGGGTTCAGGGAGGAAGAAGAGTCAAAATATCTAGGATGTGCGGACGCGCGCGTGTGGAAAGGCTCGCGAAACGTGCGTGTGAAAGAGGGATAGACGTCCAGTGTGAAGCGAAAGTGGGGTGGCTGGATGCGATATATCATAAATTTATTGGAGGTACATTGGCCCCGGCGAAAACAGTACAGTGCTTGCCTATCCAGGCACACATGAAAAGTACTAGCAATCGAATACAGTATTGATTGCATAAATGCGGATGTTGTGTCTCGTCAGAGCAAACTATCCCGTACACACCACTGAGTCCCATATTGGAGGGTTATTACAATGGCATGATACAACAGAAACCTATGGTTCTGTGTCTGTGTCAAGGGCCTTTGTCGAGCAGTTTCATCATACTTGGCACAAACAGTAGTGCTGAATTCGATTTTGATTTCGTTTGTCTATCTACTCTGATGAGGTGCACAAGACGCTTTCACGTCGATGCCTAATGCTGCTAAATCGCTGTGCATGTGATGATGATGATGATGATGATGATGATGATGACGGTAGTGGTAGTGGTGTAGTGTTGTATTGAGTGTATAGGGAAGCAAGGGGCTTTTGGATTGATGATACGAGTATTTCAACGCTCGCACGCCTTTGAAAACTTCCACATGCTGCTGGGAAACGTTTCCAGCCTAGACTGGATCTGCGGCCTGGTGAGGCGAATGGAGCGCAGCCGTGGGGCGGACATCTCTGCTTGGTCAGACCACTAGCATGGGTTGATAGATCGCGGTAGAGAAAGGTATTGAAAAGGGTATTGTCGGCGAGTTAACGACCGAAGTGTTTCTCGGTCAAAGGTCCATGCTGTATGAACGATTACGAGGTCTCCTCCTTCTTGAATAGGGCTTCATTCTCTTGCTGAGCCTTGATGAACGCCTCCTTGAATTGATTGGCATCTGTTGTTTATCAGCATTCTGCTTCTGAATGTCCTCTCAGGATAGGGAAGAGACTCACTCTCAGAGTTGGCAAACCGAATAGCGAGAGTTTGAGCCTCTGGCTCGCCCTCACTGACATCGGCAGCAGCGTTCCACACCCAGCTACGGTCGCTCCCAACGTTTGGTGAGAGTTTCATATCTGGGACAACTGTGGGCTCGTCAGTATAATTCTGTCCGCCTTCACCGACACAGTCTAATCGCAAAATCACCTACCATAGTGGTTCGCGCAGACCTTCAAGGTCTTGTCTCTCCTCATCACCAATCTCGTCTTCTGGTTCTCCTTGTGCTTCAGTAGCCTAACGTCACCGGTGCCTCTCTCCTTCCATTCTCTCGACTCCCTGTCGAACTTGAAGAGTTTCGCACGCATCTTGAAGGTTTGTTCCTCCAGCTCTTCATGAGTCTTAGTCTCAACAGTCTCGGTCAGGCGGACAATGGGCTCGAAATGGACATCGGCTTCCTCCTCAGGTGCCTTGTCGTCATCGTCGCCGCCATCAGCGGTCTTCTCCTTCTGGGCCTTGGCGGAACCAGAACGGTCGTTCTCCTCGTCCTCTGCCTTCTTCTCTTCCTTCTTGGGCCCGCCACCAAACATGCTGAAGACGTTGTCCTTGACAGCTGTCGCAGCCTCGGAAGCCTTTTCAGTCACACTGGGCTTTTCCTCAGTGGTAGAGGCGGAGGTGGTGGTGGTGGTGGGGGGGACATCCTGCTTCTCTTTGTCCGCCATGGTCGCTGGATTGATAGCGGTAGCAGTACTGGTTTCAGAGTCGACAAATAGTAGGGTCGAGTATGTCGGATAATATGTGTTGCACAGACCCAGCAGGTTGTTTAAATCGGGAGTGAGCAGAAGATAACCACCTGCCCAAATAAAAAGCGTTTGGGTGGAAAACACACCATGGCGGGCAGGGCGGTGGAGGGGCAGTGGTCTGTGCTGAACCAGTTTCCCTCACCAGATCTGCCAAGGGCGCAAGCTGCTGCCTCAGGGGTCTCAGGCATCACTCGTGAGCGGTTCACGTGAGTTCATGACTCGCGCTAGACATGTCATGCAGCGTGAGACAACAAGAGACTGAGGGGATGCAGCACACAGAGACAGGGATGATCACGGACGGTCTGTCAGGAGAAGGGAAATTATGCATACACTCGCTTATAC